AGAGTAAAATCGGTAGAAAATGATCCACTTTTAGATATTATGTAATCTTTCTTCTTATTAATTATTATGTAATCTTTCTTATTTATTAATTATTATGCAATCTTTCTTTTTATTAATTATTTTGTAATCTTTGCTTTTATGAACTATTATGCAATTTTTCTTTTTATTAATTATTATGTAATCTTTGTATTATTCATTATGTAATCATTATTTTATATTAATCATTATGTAATCTTTTTTTATTAATTATTATGCAATTTTTCTTTTTATTAATTATTAGGCAATCTTTCTTTTTATTAATTATTATGCAATTTTCCATTTTATTAATGATTAGGCAATCTTTGTTTTTATTAATTATGTAATCTTTCTTTTTATTAATTATTATTAAATCTTTCCTTTTTTAATTATTATGCAATCTTTCTTTTTATTAATTAGTACGCAATCTTTCTTTTTATTAATTATTATGTAATCTTTCATTTTTTTAAATTATTTAGCATTTTATCTTATTATGTAATCTTTATTTTTATTAATTATTATGTAATCTGCAAGCAAATACTGTAATCAAAAACATTAGAACTTAAAAATTAATTAAAAATTAATTGTACTTAAAAAAGTACCTAATAAAAGAAATTCTTCAGTACTTTCTTTCTAAACTTATATAAATAACTTATTTTGTCAAATAAAACAAAGATTTAAAAAAAAAATAATTGCATATCCTTCCAGGATGCAGGTCAGTGACTGACAAACCGTTTGCTCTTTCTGAATTTCGTTTTATTTCGGTTTCAATTGCCTCTTACTCATAAATACATACGTAAATACATACATAAACAAGGATTATTGCATATACTCATGATTACTGCGAGTTTTTATCGTCAGTTTTTTTTTTACGATAAAAATAGAGGCGTACTATACATGGGTACTTTTTTTGAACAAGTTAAAAATCATGCATTTTCGGTGAAAAATTGCACTATACATAGGCAATTTTTGGGGGAGGGGTTAAAAGTCATGCATTTTCAGTGACTGTAACCCACGTGGTAGTCCTTCATTCTCGCAGTACCGGTACAAGTAAGCGCCTTTAGCCTACCCCCCCCCCCCGCCAAGATTCTTTCTATTATATTTAAATCTTTGTATCAAATGATCACCATTTTGATGAAGCTTTATGCAAAAAAGAATGATCTGTCTATATTTCTGAGATGAGGTATTATGTACACTATTTACATTATTCGGACTATTGTCCTCATCTTTGTCGCTATATTTATTACAACGTTTCGGCCTTTCAGTATCTGTCTATATTTCTGAGATGAGGTATTATGTACATTATTTACATTATTCGGACTATTGTCCTCATCTTTGTCGCCATATTAATTACAACGTTTCGGCCTTTCAGTATCTGTCTATATTTCTGAGATGAGGTATTATGTACACTATTTACATTATTTGGACTATTGGCCTCATCTTTGTTGCCATATTTATTACAACGTTTCGGCCGTTGTATGTTGCCTTATGTGAAGGGGTTATCAGAGAAAATACAAAGGATCTGAGGTCCATATAACAACCTTCAAAAGCTGGACGACTTTTCGCAGATATCTTCCTCGAGTAAGACACCCCCCATAAAGGAGAACATGACTAAAGACTGTATGTACGCTATCCCGTGCAGCTGTGGAAAGAAGTATAAAGGGGAGACAGGCCGCCCCCTTAGGGTAAGACTTCAAGAGCACCAGAAAACCGCGTGGCTGACAGTATATGGAGAGAAAAGGGAGATCACCGGCCTCTGTGGGATCATGTTGAGATAATAGACAAAGAACACCATTGGAAAATTTGTAAACATATGATAGGCCACAAAAATCTCCTGAGATAACCAAGCATAGAAATGAATGCAATATGGGAACCAGTAATAAGGAGTGCCAGAGAAAAGCGATAATAACACCAAAAATTGCAATATGAGCTCTGGTAAAATAATTTAATGATAACAGCAAAAAATTGCATAAGAGCACTGGTAAAAAATGATGCTGAAGACATTAGGTTTATAATACCCAGAAATTCATACACAAGGACACATGGCACAGTGGATAAAGGCGTTGGTTAGATCCAGTGACAGGAACCAAAGAGTGTGTGTTCAATACCCGGTTAAGGCAGTGGGAAACTTGGAGAGGGGAATTAACAGGAGATAACTGGCATCCATTAAACATGGCACGTGGAACAGTCTACATCAGGCTGGAGCGTACAACGGCCGAAATGTAATAAATATGGCCACAAAGATTAGGACAATAGTCCGAATAAAGTTAATTGTGTAAAAAGAGTGAAGACCATTTATTTGCTATAAAATATGTCCTGAATATATGAAGAGAAATTAGGGTCGCTTTATACACGAGCTATTTGGAAAAAATAATCAGTTTTTTTACAAAAATAAATAAAAATAAAATAAAGGATTCGCATTATATATGGAGTAGTCTTATTGTAATGACAAAAGTACACAGGTGTAGGCTTTAAGAAAGCTTTATTCAATTGAGAATACAAGCTTCGCGTAGAGTGTCCTTTTATAGTCCCAGTAAACAGAAATAGCTTTCTCAAAGAAGAGAGTAACAAAACAAGGGGATACCACTCTTTATTATTCATAACACTTATTACATGAGTATAATATAGTAAGTATAATGTTTCTTAAATTTTGTAAACTTTCGGTGAAAATAACGTTTTCATTATTTTAAACCATGGACGATTTTCACTATGGAAGACCATACGTGTAAACATCTTTTGTCTTTGAAACAAAAAAATTTCATAAGATTTTTATTTCTGGAGAAGAAATATAGTTTTTTTTTATTTTCAAATGAATAAATTACAAATAAATCAGACGCAGTGATGAGTTATTCAGTGATAATATTATACAAAGACTTCAGTTTTTGAATTATAGAATAAGTTTTTCTACCCATCAACGAAAAAAAAAATAACCCAAACATTTTCCCCCGTTTCTAAAGTATATAACAATGTTTTTCAACCTTTTTTTTAATCATACAGCAGACTTGAACTTGGAGCTAAAATTCCGCGGCGCACTTAAATTATGGTGACAAAAAAACGAAAAAAAGGATACTTTTTATGATTTATTTATTAATACAAACAAAACGATTTATTATAATTTGCATAAGAAGATAATTAAAATTCTTAAAACAACTTACAGTTATTTATTTTTCTGCTCACTATAATTTAATGAGAATCTTCCGGTTCTGACGTTTTTTTTTCGAATATCTTTCCAATTTTGAATTTTAGACAGGCATACTCTGAAAGCTTCTTCCAAGGATACGAGCCGGAATCGATTTTTGTTTTTATTACAAGGCGTCCATAAAGTTCGTTTGCACATTAAAAAATTTATAACTTTATTTGTATTTGCCATAGAAATAATCTGTAAGAAATGTTATAAAGTTTAATTTACTTAATTTCAAGTATAGCTAAAATAACTAATGTGATTTTCAGGCATTACTGTAAATCAGTTGGCAAATGTTTTCCATAAACTGCAAAATCGTATTATTCTTTGTATTGCTAATGATGGAGGACATGTGGAAGCTTAAATAAAATTTCGATAAAACCTTCAGAAATATAGATTTACTTCTTTCTAATCCTTTTTACAGATTATTTCTCTCGCAAATACAAATAAAGTTAAAATTTTTTAAAGTGCACACGAACTTTATGGACACCCTGTATTATAATTTTTTTTCTTATACTCGTATAATCAACTTCAAAGGGTTTTAAATATATACACTTGTGCTGTGGACTTATTTAAAAAAATAATTAATGATCTTTAAAAACTTTCGCAGCACACCTACGATCCTATCACCGAATACCAGTGTTCCGTGGCACACCTGTTGAAAGTCGCTAGTATATGCTTACGTATATGGTCTTTTGTAGTGAAAATAGCCGAGGTGCTTACTGCGAACAATTACCTTGAATATTTTCAGTAGCGTGGCCCGCCTTGTGATGAGTCATAGATTATGCGGCTCACTGCTTGAAAATGGTTGCCCATCCCTGATGTTGGCGATCATGGACTATTTCTTTATTATCTGTAAATTGCCACGACCTCTAGGGAAAAATATTGGAGTAGATTCTCATTGTATCTTCCACAGTTTTTGAATTCAGAGTAGAGTCCTTCTATACAGGCAGCACCCAGGGTTAGAGAGTTTCGTCTTACCTTCTATTTAAGCGATAGCTGAGAAGAAATGAAAATTTGGTTTGGTTTGTTTTACAGCATATCAACCTCAATGGGTTATTTAATGCCAAGATTTTTAAAACAGATTCATATGAATAGAATAATAAATATAGATAGAATATTTATTCTTTATAAGAAATCAGTTCAGGTTTCATCGCTGTATTTTTGTAAAGAGGAGTTTTAATGAAAATCTGATTTCATTGATGCGTTTTTGGTTTGGTTTGTTTTACATCATATCAACCTCAATGGGTTATTTAATGCTGGCAAGATTTTTATCGATGACAATATTTCTTTTTACATGTATCATTGGTAATATTTTTTCCAAAAATGTATTGCTGATAATATTTTTTTCCAAAAATGTATTGTTGGTAATATTTATTTTTGCAAAAATATATTGCTGGTAAAAATTTTTTTCAAAAACGTACTGCTGGTATTAACACCTATTTTTATACTTTCGGAGTGTTTTGACCTCTTTTGGGGGAAGTTAACGATTTGCCCATAGCTCGGACCTAACAGGTGCTACCTACCCGGGTCAGGGTGGATCTGGGAACACTAGCAATTAAGAGGTGGTTCCACGCTCCTGAAAACCTTCTGATCAGAGGCCTTGCTGTCGGATGTAGTTTATCGTCTTACCCAGGACGCCGGATGTAGTATAATGTCTTACCCAGGACAGAGGAGAAATGAAAGAAAAATAGATAAATGGTTTTCTGAAGGGCAATAGTGCGAAAGTGAATTCAGTAAACTGAGCGATAACCATTACGATATTCACACATTCTTTGGGAGGTGAGTGGTTTTAATTATCCGATGTTTACACCGGTTCTCGTACGATCACCGAAGTTAAGAAACATCGAACCTAGTCACTACCAAGATGGGTGACCGCTTGGGAATGCCCGGTGCTGAAAGCTTCGACGTGCAGGTTGTGTAATGAATAAAAGTTCGGAATAGGAAATCGGAGAAAACGAGAGAAAAGGGTATATTAAGATTGGTCCGAGAAAAGATGAGGAAAGATATCTTTATTCTTATCTTTTAATGACCCCTGTATGTTCGTAGATCTATTTCCATTTTTGTGTATTGTGTGTGCGTTTTTTGCTAGTCCCTCTCCATACATACATACATACAGTCTAATGAGGAATAAGTATCTATCTATCTATCTATCTATCTATCTATATATATATATATATATATAATTAAGATTAGTCCTTTCTCGGACCAATCCTAATTGTTTTATTACCCTTTAAGCAGAAGAACTTTCTCACCACCAGTCCGAGAAAGGTTTGTGTCAGTACTACCTCACCAAAAGAGAATGTTTAACATCGAAAGCCACAAGGAAAATTAATTCATCTAATATCCACTTAGCCTGAAGAAGGTCGCGAGATTGGAAACGTGTGTAGCAAAATTATGGAAAATAAGGTATAAAATATATTTTTAAAAAATCCACATTACAATAAAAAACGTTTGCGGTTTCTCTCTTTTACTATATATATATATATATATATATATATATATATATATATATATATATATATATATATTAATGCATGTTTCATTAAATAATATAGACAAGATTTGTCTATTTATTTTAAGTAAGTTCCTTTCATATAGTCTGATAAGCTTAATCACATTATCATTGAAAGACGAAAGGAAAACACCATATTGATACATGTTTAAATCCAATCTAACCTTTCGGCTTACATAAGCCATTATCAAAGATGACAATTTTAATATATCAAACAACACACGGACGAAACAAAAATGATAGTCCGCCCTTGCTGCATGAAAAATTGCAAAGCAACGAAAAAACCCGTGTATACGAGACGCGGAGGCGAAAATCGCGTCGCATCTCGTGACGTCACACATAACTGTGACGGTTACACACCTGGCCCAGTGTCGGATTCTTTGGTTACGGCGCCAACGGTGACGTCGCTCCTCCTGGTCGCTCCTCCTGGGTCCAAGCGTGCCGCTCCAACCCTTTGGTCAGATGATCACCAGCCTCGCCTTTCCCGACTCGCTTCCAATACCTGGTCACTAAAGCAACTATACCGATCTCCGGTCTGTCTACCCACGCTGTGTTTAGATCTTAGACAGACGGGACCAGCAGGATCGGGGCCGATACAAGTTGAGTCCGACGGGGTGGCAAAACACAAATAAAATAAAAACTCACGACACCAAACAAAATTTGCTGATAAAAAGGGTAACAACCTTTTATATCTTAATGTCCGTTACATAAAAAAAAAACAAAATTGTTCTCAATTCCCGACCCGCTCTGTGGACTATGGCACCAAGCTTCTATCACACAATAGAAAAATGTCGAATTACCTACTTTCTAGAATCATGTATGTATGTCGGAGTGTGGTTCAGTTCGACACTGGGGCTAATTTCTATCGATCATTCGCAGTTGATTCTTCTCTCCGACTTGAGTTGTATTTCTTCTTCTTCGTCTGCTTGGGCTGGTAGTTTTCCTGTTTCAACTTGGTGGAAGATTTCTTGTTTCAACTTAGCCGCAACTCTCTGTCGTCTGAGGTGGTCTCTTCTCACTGCCGTCCGGAGCTGAACTTTAACTTCTCATCGACTTTCGGCTTGTCTGCAGCTCCAATTCTTCTCAGGCTTTCAGGCAATCTTCTTCTTCGTCTACTTGGGCTGGAAGTTCTTCTTGTCTTCGACTTGGGCTGGAAGGATTTCTTGTCTGAGGATTCTTCTGCCCGCAAAGGGGCGAGTGAATCGGGCCTGATGGCCGCGTTCAGGCTCTATCCCTGCCCGCGGTCCAACTCTCAACCCCAACTGCAACTCCAACTTAACTGATTTCTGTCGACTGGGGTCCTGCTTATATTGACGCCGCAACAAACTGGGGTGGGTCTGTCGGCGTCAGGGTTTTCTCGATAATTCCAAAAAACTGCATTAATTCTGTCTTCTCCATTATCGCTATTGTTTTCACCCCTACTTCCTCATAGTACCTTTGGTGGGGCGGCGCACATCCATCTCTTAGTCTCTCGTATGTCAGGTGACCGCTTTTCAACCAATCGTTCCTGATCGAGCATTTCTTTCCCTTTTCTTCCGCAGGTCACGTGATCGTATTCGACCAATTGTTATTGATCAAACATTTCTTTCCTTTTCTTCCGCAGGTCACGTGATCGTATTCGACCAATTGTTATTGATCGAACATCCTCTCCCCTCTGTTTGCGGGCGTGGTTACATCGTTCTTGTTTAAAAAACAAAATCCAATTTTGCCCCTTTTGCACGTACGCAAAATGACAATCTTTGGCTTTCTCTCACCTGGACTTTGTCAAACAGCCCGCTGCTAATTAGTCTTGACTTTAGAAAGGATCTTTTCCGCCTTCTTGGCGCCCTCTGTGAGCCAAAAGCAATTGTCCCTCTTTTTTACCTCTTTGTTTTTCCTGATAGTCGAAAATCTTAATTATCTACATTGAAATGTCTCTACTTTATTAACGTGGGTGTCCAATTCTTAACAGGTCTGTATATCGTTCCACCGGTCACTCCCCTCAACCCAAAGACACTTTTTCTCTGATTAAAAATTGTTTCATTGTTCCCAAAATTTCTCTTTATCCAAATTGATAAGGTGTCTTTCCATGCAAAAAAAGTAGGCTAGGTGCCTTGACCGACATTCTTTATCAAAATGACTTTCGAAAATCGGCCAAGACGTTGACCCAATTCTCTTTCTGACTCCTATCTCCACCCTCAATTGGGTCATGCGTCATACATTTCTCTTTCTTTCTTTTCTTCCTTCCTTCCTTTTTTCCTTTCTTTCCTTCTTCTTTCCTTAGGATCGTCTAGTACACTCTTAGTGAATTATTTTCAACTCAGTTATTTTCCGTTTTTAAAAAAAAATTAACAACCTGTTTAATAAACTGAGTAAGAAAAAATTAAATCATATTTCTAGGAATATTTCTAATAATGCAAGGTGCCACATAACCACGCGAGAGTGAAAACAAGAAGTATTAAGTATGGGAAGCCGTTGGTATAAACTAATGGCTTCTGTTATAAATTATAGGCATTTAAGAATATTTGTGGAGATTTCATACTTTATTTTGTTCAGGTTAGGTTTCAACTGTTTTATATATATAGCTTCAAGAATTTTTAGTTTTTGTTTATTGTTTTCATGTTTAAGTATAGTTGTGTTGTCAACAAGGATGTTCCGGAATTGTGTACGCGGCCAGGCATGTTATTTTAAATGCCTAAATATGTTAGAGTTATCATTCAAATGTAGAGTCAAGCGCCGTGAAAGCGAGTTTGTGGTGTGACCAACATAAATAGTATTTAATCCATTGGAGATACAATCTTCCAAAGGGCACTTGAATTTGTAAACTATGTTGGTTTTTTGCAAATCGCTAACGGGGAGGGGGAAGAATCGTTGCAAATAGTTTAAGTTGGATATACTAGATTTAGTGTAGTATATAATTAATCTATTTTTTTGCTAGGATCTGTTATAGATATATTAAATCTGTTTGTAAATAAATTAGTTTCTGCACGATATATTAGATTTTTTATAATTGTTATTTTGTAGTAATATGGAAATTCGCTTTTGTAGTTAAGTGTACATGAATTTATGCTGGTAGGTTTTTTGTATGACGAAATAGTAAATTTGTTATTGTTTGTGTTTATCAATATGTCAAGGAAGGGAATTTTATTATTAGTATTGAGTTCATATGTGAATTTAAGGACAGAATTATTTTGGAAACGTTTTTGAAGTTGAAGTATTTCTTCTGTATTTTTAACTAACATAAGGATATCATCAACATATCTTAGATAGATGGAAGGTTTTTTAACACCTGTAAATATCTTATTTTCGAGGTACGACATGTAGAAATTGCTAAATGTCGGACCCAGTACTGAACCCATGGAGACGCCATCACGTTGTATATATATACAAAACTTTTCTATATTATTTAATGAAACATGCATTAATGAAAAATTGCTGCCTATATATATATATATATATATATATATAATTTCAATTAATAACGTGAATAGGAGTTGGCTTTTGAATCAGAATTATATTTTACATGGGTCATCATGATTTTAGAGATGCTTAGGCCGGGCATAGTCGAATAAAAGTTGGGAAGCACTGCATCAGACTCTTTAGAGACATTTATTTAAATCTCATCTCTATTAGCTAGGTTTGAAATGCAGTAACTTTGATGCGTTACAGAATAAAAGTTTACCAATTGGGAGTAAAGCAATGTCCCTACTAGTATCGTGGCTAAGCAGTCTTTGGCACTGGAGTTAGTCACCAGTCTCTTTAGAGACGTTTATTCGAATCTAACAGCTGCCAAACTTGTCTTATACGCTGTAATTCTGACGCGTCAGAAGATATCAATTTGCTAATTGCAGCTACGCGTGTGGTTTTCCAGTAGCTTTTGAACGCGGTTTATGGCGCTGATTTCAAATAACATTATCCTTGGAGTCGTGAGTTCAAATGTTGGCGTTATCTTCGACGTATCAGAAAGCATTGACGTTCGCGAGTTGCAAGCGGATAAAAGACTTAACTATACCGCGGAAGAGTAGTTTTCGGAACCAGTTTCTCTTAGAGGACAGTGTTCGAATACTAGCGCGGAGTGTCAGTACAGGGTGTCCATAAAGTTCGTGTGCACTTTAAAAAATTTATAACTTTATTTGTATTTGCGATAGAAATAATTTGTAAAAAGGATTAGAAAGAAGTAATTCTATATTTTTTAAGGTTTTATTGAAATTTTATTTAAGTTTCCACATATCCTCCATCATTAGCAATACAAAGGATAATACGATTTTGCAGTTCACAGAAAACATTTACCAACTGATTTACAGTAATGCCTGAAATCACGTTAGTTATTTTAGCTATACTTAAAACTAGGTACATTAAACTTTATAACATTTCTTCCAGATTATTTCTATCGGAAATACAAATAAA